AAAGACATGAACAGACACTTCACAAAAGAAGACATTCGAGCAGCCAACAAACACATGAAGAAATGCTCAACCTGACTAATCATCAGGGAGATGCAAATCAAAACCACACTGAGATACCACCTAACTCCAGTCAGAATGGCAATTATCAACAACTCAAAAAATAACAGCTGCTGGAGAGGGTGTGGTGAAAAGGGAACACTTCTACACTGTTGGTGGGAGTGTAAACTAGTGCAACCTCTGTGGAAAGCAGTGAGGCGATTCCTAAAAGCTCTAAAAATTGACCTTCCATATGACCCTGCAATCCCCCTACTGGGAATATACCCTGAAGAACACAAATCACTCTATAAAAAAGATACCTGCACACGTATGTTTATCGCAGCATTGTTCACGATAGCAAGAACCTGGAAACAACCATGCTGCCCATCAAAAGAGGACTGGATTAAAAAAATGTGGTACATATACACGATGGAATACTACGCAGCCATAAAAAAGAACAAAATCATGAATTTCGCTGCAACCTGGATGGAACTAGAGTCTATAATACTGAGTGACCTCTCACAAAAACAAAAATCCGAATATCACATGTTCTCACTCATATAATGGACCTTGAACATCCAATGCAATACTATGAGAAAATGACGGATGGTACTGGGAAACTATGGGGGGGAGGGGGATGGGATTAACACTATCAAATATCTGTCGGGGGATGGGAAAACACTTCTTATCTACAGGGTGCCTGAATGAGACGTCATTGTACACCTACCCTTAACTGTACCCCACAAAACCATAATAAAAACTACTGATTAATGAAAAAATAAATAAATAAATAAATAAAAAAAATAAAAAGACACGTTCATAAGTAGGAATTAGGATTGATTCCACATATTTTCTTAAATGAGTTTCAGAGCCTGGTAAGGAGCAGAGTAGAATTAGTAGATACAATAATATAACAAATCTATAGAACGAAAAGTTTCCAATATTGAGATTTTTGTTTGAGATTTCTCATTATAAGCTCAAGATTGATTACTTTTATATCTTATAAAGCATTAACATTTATGAGTAGAGTATATATATAAAGAGTAATATCATTAGCATATTAATAGATCTTCAACATCACACATATTTGCAGTATATTTAGAATCCATTTGAAAAATGATGCAAACAATGGCACAAAACTTACTTTTTCACCAGAGTTGTCTTTAGCTATTGGGACTTGCCAGGAAATATTAGCAGAATCTTGCTGTTCCTGAGTCTTAGCCTCTATGTCCTTGGGACAGTTGATTTGAGGAACCTCCACATCTAACTCAGAAAGTTCACAAATTTATTAATATACTGACATGTCATTATAAGTCATTTAAGAAAGAAGTAAAAAATATATTTATGTTACTACTTTGTGACTTTCTTTTTATAACCCAGTTACTGATTGATTTGGAATATGCAACTTCCTTTCGATAACTTATTCAGCAAAGCTTATGAGGCCCTCTCCTGACTCAGTGCCTGCTGACATCTTAGCCTCATTTCTTCCAGTTCTCTTGCTAGAATTCACTCTCCACATTCAATTACTGTCAGGCTTATGAAAAACCACGGTCTTTTAAAAACATTTTTAATCCTGGGCCTTTGCCCATGCTCTTTTATTTGCCTGAATTAGTGCCCTCATCCTCCCTTTACTTGGAAAACTACCACTTGTCCTTTAATTCTAAGCTTAGTTACAAGCTCCTCAGGAAGCTCTTCCTGACTCTCCCAGTCTGGTAAAGAAGCTCTCTCCACATATTCCTATAATCCACTGGACTTTCCAACCATGAAACTCAACATGCCATTTTGAAATTGAATTTTCTCCCCCATCATAATTTATATTATAAATTCTTTGAAGGTCAGGATATATCTTGTCTTGTCTTACAAAGTACCTGGCATATAATAAATATATATAAATATAATAGATATAATAAAGCTTGATACTTTTAAAATGAAATATAGGCATAAAAATGAACGTTGACTGTGGTAGGAAGGAACTATACTTGAAAACAAGGATGTCAAGTAGAATTAATTAGCAGTAGTGAAATGTACTGTCAAAACAATAAATTAAAGCCAGTGATGTTTTTTACAGTGTAAAACTTTATAGTACAGATGCTGAATTCAATGTAGTAATAATACACAGTTCCACATCAGTCTGGGTGAAGAACAGTAATGTTCTAATATAATAGGATATACATCCTTTACTCTAAGTTATGCTAAATTAGGTCTGTTGTAACTTGTCATTGAATATATCCAAATTGATTTTTTAAAATTTTATTTTATTTTAAAGATTTGGGGTTCAATTCAGGATTAGGAATACAAGTGGTTATTGGACAGGTAAAGTTTGGACCTCACTTTGGGCCCCACTCTGCCTGGTTTGAGATCAGGTACCTTATTGATGAGGCATGCCCCCCGCCCACCCAGGAAATTTCCCACTACTGTCAATACCTTTCTGCATCCAAACTGATTTTATTGTGTCATATCTTCTTGTTTCTTTAGCATTGTATTTACTTTACATTTTCTTTTTCTCAGAGAAGTTTATACTTAGATAAGTTTCCCCCAAAGGGATGCACAGTAGCATATCAACTCAGAAAATACTTTAAAGTATTTGATTTTTTATTCATACTTAAATAATAGCTTGACTTGATTTGGAATTTTAAGTTCATATTCTTTTTCTCTTTATATCTTATAGATATTGCTAAATTTCATTGTGGCATTTAGAGATACAAATGGGAAGTATAAGTGAATCTGATTCCACTGTCTTTTGTACAATTTCTCTTTCTCTCTGGAAACTTATTTAAAATATTCCCATTAACTCTGTTTCTCAAACATTTCACTAGGAGCAGTGAAAATATGCCAGCTTAATAATCAGGGACTATTTTTGATCTAAAGATTTAAGCTTTTCGGTAGCTCAGGGCAACTTTCTTCTACTGGTAGGAAAATTCTTCTGTATGTCTTTTCCTCTCTCCTTTTGGAACTCATTAAATGGGCATTGGGGAGTTTTCATTTGTATTGTTATCCCTTAACCTTCATCTTTTGGGTTTGATCACCTGGGATATTCAAGCACTTTGTTTATTAGGTTCCATTCTCAGAAAGCTCTCAGTTTGGGTCTTCAAATTTCTCATATTGTTGTTTCTCACAATACCCACTCCTTCCAACCCCCCTTCTTCTCTTAAAGGTATTTATGACATTTTTACTTCTAGGAACTCTTTCTTATTTTCAATAACTCCTTTTTCCACACCACTATTATTGTTGCAGGGAAAATGGCAATGTCCTCTTATGAATGTAATAGGATGCATGTTTCAAGGTGCTGATATCTTTAAAGAAAAAAATCAATTCAGTCTTACCTACTCTATATGGACCAGAAACTCCTCAATGATTTTTATCTCCTAATGAAAATTTTACCTGATTTTTAGCTTTAATATTATATTCTTTTGTCTATTTTTTCTGTCATTACTTGGCATTTTGTAGTTGGATGTCATAAATCCATACCTCAAGGTGCATATTGGTAATACCTACCATTTTATCATGGGTTAGCAGCAAAAGTTGCAAAGAGGGGCTGTCATATACCATATTTCATTGTCTAGAAATTTGGTTTTTAACCTGACCAGTGCAGAGACCTACCTTTACACACGGCTGTCTGAACTCTGGCACTCCATTTTCCAGAAGTGGTACATCTCACTTCTTTGACTCCAGATAAAATGAATCCTTGGCGGCAACTTAACTGACAAATCATTCCAGGTTTGGCTGGCTGCTTGCCACAGTTATGGGGTGATATGATGACACCTTTGGGCTTCTGAAAGGTGGAACAGTGGCGCTCTATTGTAGAAAATGAGGAAATGTTATTTGCATTCCCACAAATTGAAAATACCTTGGATTCTCTTTACCCCAGAAAAATACAATTGTTCTGCCTTAGGTTTGATATAAATTACTAAATGATAACTACATTTGATGTTGAAAGTATGATATGTTATAAATCATGCTAAGCTATACCTCTTTCGTTATCTCTTGTTATTTTGCCAGTGTATCAAAACCTTTAAAAACTTGTAATTGATATTTTAATCAATGCTGATTGTGACATTTTTTCCCTAAGCACTCGTTTCTTTTTTTTTAACTTTAAAATTTTTAATTTTAAAATTGTGGGGTACAATTCAGGGTTAGCTATACAAATATTCAGTATGCAGGATACCCTTGTTTATGAGGTATACCTCCTCTTTTCCAGGCAGATTCCCACTACTGCCAATCCCACCTCCCTACCTGCCCACCCACCCGCAGTTTCCTGCTACTGTCGATCCTTTTCTTAGAGTATTATGATAGTTGTTCAAGGTACACTTATGAGTGAGAACATGTGATACTCAGTTGTTTGTTTCTGCAAAAAATCACTCAATATTATAAACTTTAAGTTCATCCAGGTTGCTGTGAAGTTCATGATTTTGTTCTTCTTTATGGTTGTACAATATTCCATTGTGTATGTACCACATTTTTTTAAATCCAGTCCTCTTTTGATGGGCAGCACAGTTGGTTCCATGTTCTTGCTATTGTGAACAATGCTGTGATAAACATACGTGTGCAGGTATCTTTTTTATAGACTGATTTGAGTTCTTCAGGGTATATCCCCAGTAGGGGGATTGCGGGGTCATATGGGGGGTCGATTTTTAGAACTTTTAGGAATCGCCACACAGTTTTCCACAGAGGCTGTATTAGATTACACTCCCACCAACAGCGTAGAAGTATTCCCTTTTTGTCACATCCTTTTCAGCATCTGCTATTTTTTGAGTTATTGATGATGGTCATTCTGATTGGAGTTAGGTGGTACCTCAGTGTAGTTTTAATTTGCATTTATTTGATGACTAGTGAGGCTGAACATTTGTTCATGTATCTGTTGGCTACTCATATGTCTTCCTTTGAGAACTGTTTATTCATACCTTTTATCCACTTTGTAATGGGGCCGTTCTTTTTTTTTTCTTTTCAGCACATTTGAGTTCCTTATAGATCCTAGATGTTAGACCTTTGTTAGACATACAGTTGGCAAATATTTTTTCCCAGTCTGTGGGCTGTCTCCCTGCTCTCTTGATGGTTTCTTTGACTTTGCAGAAGCTTGTCAGTTTGAAGAACTGGCATATAGACCAATGGAATAGAATTGAGACTCCAGAGGCAAAACCTCAATTTCTCAGCCAACTCATCTTCAACAAAACCTCCACCAACAACCACTGGGGAGAGAAGAACTTATTCAGCAAATGGTGCTGGGAAAACTGGCTGACCACTTGCAAAAGATTGAAACAGGACCCCTACCTATCCCCATACACAAAAATCAACTCTAAATGGATCAGAGACCTAAACATAAAACCTCAAACTATAAGAACCTTAGAAAATGCAGGAGACACTATTATGGAAATTGGAACTGGCAACCAATTCCTGATCAAAACTCCAAGTGCCCATGCCATAAGAGATAAGATAGACAAGTGGGACCTTATCAAACTGACAAGTTTCTGCAAAATCACTCTATAAAAAAGATACCTGCACATATATGTTTATCACAGCATTGTTCACAATAGCAAGAACATGGAACCAACCGTGCTGCCCATTAAAAGAGGACTGGATTAAAAAAGTGGTACATATTCACAATGGAATATTGCACAGCCATAAAGAGGAACAAAATCATGAACTTCGCAGCAACCTGGATGAAGTTAGCATCTATAATACTGAGTGATTTTTCACAGAAACAAAGAACTGAGTATCACATGTTCTCATTCATAAGTGGATCTTGAACAACTATCATAATATCAAAATAGAAGGAATGACAGTAGTGGGAAACTGCAGGGGCATTGGGGGGCGGGGAGGTGAGATTGGCAGTAGTGGGAAACTGCTTGCAAAAGGGGGGGCACATCTCATCAACAAGGGTATCTGCACAATGAATATTTGTATACCTAACCCTGAGTTGCATCCCATAATTTTAAAATTAAAAATTAAAAAAGAAGCTTGTCAGTTTGATGAGGTCCCACTTCTCTACCTTATCTCTTAGGGCATGGGCACTTGGGGTTTTGATCAGGAATCGGTTGCCAGTTGCAATTTCCATAAGGGTGTCTCCTGCATTTTCTAAGCTTCTAATAGTTTGAGGTTTTACGTTTAGGTTTCTGATCCATTTAGAGTTGGCTTTTGTGTATGGGGATAGGTAGGGGTCTTGTTTTAGTCTTCTGTATGTGGTCAGCCAGTTTTCCCAGCACCATTTACTGAATAGGTTCTCCTCTCCCCAGTGGTTGTTGGTGGAGGCTTTGTCAAAGATGAGTTGGTTGAGAAATTGAGGTTTTGCTTCTGGAATCTCAATTCTATTCCATTGGTCTATATGCCTGTTCTTGTACCAATACCAGGTTGTTTTTATTATTGTAGCTTTATAATAAAGTTTAAAGTCTGGAAGTGTGATACTACCTGGTTTTTGTTTGTTTGTTTGTTTGTTTTTGCTGAGGATTGTTTTGGCTATTTGTGGTCATTTATGTTCCCATATGAATTCTTGTATTGTTTCTAGGTCTGAGAAGAATGTTGCTGGTAATTTGATGGGTATTGCATTAAATCTGTAGATTGCCTTAGGTAGAATGGACATCTTAACAATGTTGATTCTTCCAATCCATGAGCATGGAATATTTCTCCACTTGTTTCTGTCATCTTTGATTTCTCTGGGCAGTGTTTTGTGGTTTTCATTGTAAAAGTCTTTCTGGTTAGGAATATGCCAAGGTATTTCATTTTTTTGTGCAGCTATTGTGAATGGAATTGTGCTTTTTATTTTGGTTTCTGTTTGTTTATTATTGGTGTATAGAAATGCGATTGTCTTTGCACATTTATTTTATACCCTGAGACTTTGCCAAAGCCCTTTACCAGTGCAAGGAGGTTTTTGACAGATTCTCTTGGGTTTTTGAGGTAGAATCATGTCGTCTGCAGAAAGGAATAACTTGATTTCCTCTTTTCCTATTTGGATATCCCTGATATCCAAGAAAAATACAATTGTGCTGCTTTAGGTTTGACATAATTGCTAAATAATAACTACATATTATGTTGAAAATATTATGTATTATAAATCGTGCTAAGCTACCTCTTCAGTTACCTCTTGTTATTTTGCCAGTGTACCAAAACCTTGAAAAACTTGCAATTTATATTTTAATAAATGCTGATTGCAACTTTTATCATTTTCTTGCAGCATCTTCATTAGGTTTGCAGAATATTATTTTATGCCTTTGAAGTATAAAGTAGTAAATTAGATACCATTTTAAATGGATTAAGTGATATATTTAGCAATCAATCTCTATTTTATGAGCTTTTTGGTGCTACCTTGAAGCAAGAACATAATGAGAACAGTTTTTATACCTTTCCTAAAATAACTGTGTTATAATTAGAGCCCTGACTGTGATATTATCTTCAGCATAGATGAAGAATTTCAAATGAATTAGGCTGAGTGCAGATAGAGTGGAAAATCAAAGTTAAGACAGTGCAGGGAGTGTGTGTGTGTGCCCATGCATATGCCATATGCACATTTGGTTGTTGAGACTCTTCTGGCAGCACTGTGCACATCTTTAGTCTGTATTTTCCATGTAAGAATAGCTAACATCTCCAGTCTCAGCAACGGATTGAGACTCCAACTTAAAAAAAAAAAAAAGAAAAAGAAAAAAAAGAATAGCTAACATTTTTTCAGTACCTACTATGTGCCAGGCAACACTCTAAGTGCTTTACATCTATTAGCATATTTAAACCTAGGCAGTAAGGAGTATTTCTATTATTCCCATTTAAACACAAGAGATTTGGACTTTTCTGTGGCTACCATGCAGGTACATGGCAGAACCCAACCTATGTGCTCCTAAACACTTCAGCATCATACCTCCTCCCTGCCATGATTTCTTTGAAACTGTGTCAGCAAAAGTTATTTTTTCCTGAGACACTGGTTCATCTCTTTATTTTTGCACAGTGTGAGCTGCATGCCTGCCCAGACTTCCTATTCTCCTTTGGTCACCAGGAAAATCAAAGCTAAATATGTGGCTCAAGTATAATGACTAAGTGGGACTTAATATCCTTTATTTAGGGGTGGCCCTTTAAGGAGTAAGAAAATTATCCTCTGACTTTCAAAATGTTGAAGATTTTATTCTTTTTTTATTGCTTGTTTATGGTACTTTGAATGAACATGTTTTTAATATTTATATAGTCTAATTTATTGATTTTTTCTTTTAAAAGTATTTCCATTGCTTTTATGCTTAGTAAATTCTAAAATTGCTTAGCTTTCACTTACATATATTATCTACATTTTCTTCTAGAACTTAGTAGTTTCATTTTCTAATTTATTCCTTACAAATTATATGAAGAATTTATTTCAATGTGTGGTATGAATTAAAGACATATAAAATTTTTGTAGGTTTTTTTCCTCAAGGAGCTAGCCAATTGTCCTATATGATCAGTTGAATTTTTCCTCAACTGACCTGTTTCCTTAATAATGCACACAACTTGTAAGTTTCAGAATCTATTCAGTCCTCATCAAAAATCGTATGGCAATCCTTCAATAGTCCTAATTTTTGCAGCTTTAATTTAGTATATATTTTAAAACCTGGTACAGCCACTTTCTCTTTACTATTTTTATCACTTTTCCCTTTCAAACCTATTTCAGTAATTTTTGATTGTATATTCTCCTAGACAAACCCTATAATCACTCCCTAATTACAAAAAAGGTGGGTGGGGCAGAAAAGAAACTCTCTTTTAGGTTGTTGAATGAGGTTACATTTTATATAAATATGTGTAAAATGTATATATTGCATTTTACATAAAGATTGCATTTTATATACAAATATATGTTTGTAATGTACTGTTATTCCCATTTGCAAACAAGATAATTGAACTTTTCTGAGGCTACCATGCAGATTCATGGCAGAATCCAACCTATGTGCTCCTTAACACGCCAGTATGCGTGTGTGTGTGTGTGTGTGTGTGTGTGTGTGTGTACACACACACACACATACATATAATATATTTTATATATTTTGACACATTCTATATTTACTCTGGATCTTTTGAATGTGATGTTTCACTGTATGTTTTGTTTATCATTGTACATAGAAGAGCTGTTTATTTGGTATTCTTATTACTTTAATGAAATCTCTTTTTTAGTATTTCATTCTGTCTTTTAGGTAGACTTGGAGTCTACAAATGATGATGATTTTGAATCCTAATATCTCAAATCCTGTGATTTACTATGAGCTAGAGCTTAGAGAACTAAGCAACATGGATGATTCTGAGCTTCCCCTCACCCAGATTTAATAATACTGTCTATATTGTTTTTCCATCATAGAGAACTGTAGATTTAAGATGAATATTTTTATGTCAGTGATATCAATATAATATTTCTTAAAATTTCATTGAAAATGTGTTTTAAATTATAATGTTTTTTTCTTCTACTAAGCAATCATACAATTTTTCCTATTTGTTATAAAGAAGGAATGTATTATATTGACGGATTACCAAATTTTAAACCCTTCTTGCATAAACTTGGATAAACTTTGATTGTTTGATAGACCGTTCTTTTGAACGTGGGTTGCGAGTACATTTGCTATTATAGTTATACATAGAATTGGTTTATAATTTTTAAATCTTTTTTTTGACAATAGTTGTCAGGTTGGCAGCAAAATAATAGTCTGATAATATGAATTGCATAGTTTTCTAGTATTTGGGCCAAATTACATGATATGAAAATTTCTTATAAAAATTCTATTTTTGCATTTTTATTACTTAGGTTTAAAATTTTATTACCTTATTTAATAATCATCTTCTTAGTCATTTTACTGCATCTCATCCCTCTTTATATTTCATTTTGCTTGCTTAAACAATTATTGTTACCACTTTCTTTCAATTTTCCTTGCAGTTGTTCTTTTTCTAACTTTTCAGCTGAATGCAGTTATTTTCATTTGTTCTTGTTTAATAATAAAAATATTTTTAAGATTCACTGGTTCATAATGTTGTCCTTCTATCAGCAAGGTAAAGGTAAATCATGTTTAACAAAGCAAAGGAATTATGCAATATTTGCTTTAAAAAAAAAAAAGTCCATCCAAATTGGGGCCACCCAATGAAAAATAAAAGCACTGCCATTTGAAGCAATAAACTTCAGTGTGTTGAAAAACGACCACTCGTACACCTAATCCTGAATCATACCTCACATCTTTAAAACAAAATTAAAATATTTAAAAAAAGAAAAACTAAATTCGCGTAGAAGTCTTTTACTAGTGGAGATGAATAAAACAATATATTTGTCTTTGAATTTATAACCCTGAATCTGTACATGTGGATGGGTATTTATATTCATTATGAGCTAGTGTTTAGTTCTAGGTTTTCACAGAATACTGGAAAAATCAGAGCAGGAGAAATGAAACACCCACGGCATCACACTTTTCAGTAACTTACCCACACACCGGGGTTCTGGACCATCCCATTGAGTGTTTCCTTGACAGGTAAGTTTAACACTTCCTTCTAATCTGTACCCTTCATCACAGGTAACCAAACATGTTGTCTTGTAGGACATTTCCCTTGTAGAACAGCTAATGCGGCCATGTTTGGGCTGGCGGAGATGGGGGCATGTTCTCACTATAAAAAATGAAATCAATCAGGTCATATTTTACTAAATAAGGGCAAAAATAAGAATTATCATTTTAGCAGTAACTGTGCATTACAAGCAAGAAAATTATCTTTTCTTAAAATGGCAAAAAATAGATAACACATCACAATTTTTTGTTTTTATAGGTCAATCTAAAGCTTATATTTTATCAAATGCACTGCCCAAACAATATCACTGTGTGTAACCCTCTGCCCATAGGTGGGAAACTTGTCACTTGTCTAAGAATTCCAACTCTAAACAGTAGATGATGGCTATAGATTGGAGGTGGCTGGCAAAGGGAGGTACCTGCAGCTTTCAGCTGCGTCTTTGCTGTGATTTTACAGGCTACATTCCTACAAAAGGAAGGGGTACTTTCTTTTTTTAAACAATTTTTATTTTAAATATGTGGGGTACAATTCAGGGTTAGGTATACAAAAGTTCATTATGCAGGTACCCTTGTTGATGAGGTGTGTCCCTCCCTCCTCTGGCAGTTTCCCACTACTGCCAATCCCTTTCTTATGGTATTTTTTTTTTCTTTTTTTTTGAGTTGGAGTCTCACTCTGTCACCCAGACTGGAGTGCAGTGGCTGCTTCTGGCTACCGCAGCCTTGACCTGCTGGGGCTCCAGCGATCCTTCCGCCTCAGCCTTCCGAGTAGCTGGAATTACAGGCGCGCGCTACCATGCCCAGCTGATTTTTGATTTATTGTAGAGATGCGGTCTCGCCAAGTTGCCCAGGTGGGTCTCGAACCCGTGGGCTCAGGCAATTCACTCACCTCAGCCTCCCAAAGGCGCGGGATTACAGGCTGAGCCACCGAGCCCGGCTTCTTATAGTATTAGGATAGTTGTTCAATGCCCGCTTATGAGAACTTGTGAGACTGAGTTCTTTGTTTCTGTGATCAATCCCTCAGTATAATAGCCTCTAAGTTCCTCCAAATTGTTGTGAAGTTCATAATTTTGTCCCTTTTTATGGCTGTGTAATATTCTGTCATGTATATGTACCACATTTAAAAAATCCAGTCCTCTTTCAATGGGCAGCACAGTTGGTTCCATGTTTTTGCTGTTGTGAATAATGCTACAACAAACAAGCATGTGCAGGTATCTTGTTTGTAGAATGATTTGAGTTCCTCTGGGTATATTCCTAGAAGGGGAGTTACTGGGTCGTATGGGAGGTAGATTTTTAGATCTTTTAGGAATCGCCACACTGTTTTCCACAGAGGTTGTACTAATTTACACTCCCACCAACAGTGTAGAAATGTTCCCTTTTCACCGCATCCTCTCCAGCATCTGTTGTTTTTTTGAGTTACTGACGATGGCCATCCTGACTGGAGTTAGGTGATATCTCAGTGTGGTTTTAATTTGCAATTCTTTGATGACTAGTGAAGCTGAGCATTTGTTCATGTATCTGTTGGCCACTTATATGCCTTCTTTTGAGGAATATCTATTCATATCTTTTGCCCACTTTCTTTTTTTGTTCTTTTATTATTATAAAGGTGTGGGGTACAATTCAGGGTTAGGTATACAAACGTTAATTATACAGGTACCCTTGTTGATGAGGTATGACCCTCCCTCCCCTAGTAGTTTCCCTCAACTGTCAATCGCACCCTCCCTCCCCTGACAGTTTCCTACTATTGCCAATCCCCTCCCACAGTATTATAATAATTGTTCAAGGCCCGCTTATGAGTGAAAACATATGGTACTCTGTTCTTTGTTTCTGTGACAGATCACTGAGTATGATCTAAATTCATCCAAGTTGCTGCGAAGTCCATGTTCATCCTTCTTTATGGCTGCATAACATTCCATTGTGTATCATATTTTTTTAATCCAGTCCAGCTTTGATGGGCAACATGGTTGGTTCCCTGTTTTTGCTATTGTGAATAGAGCTGCAACAAACATATGTGTGCAGGTATCTTTTTTGTAGAATGATGAGTTCCTCGGAGTATATTTCCAATAGGGGAATTGCTGGGTCATAATATGGAAGGTCAATTTCTAGTTCTTTCAGAAATTGCCACACTGTCTTCCAAAGAGGTTGCACTAGTTTGCATTCCTACAGGCAGGGTAGAAGCGTTCCTTTTTCTCCACATCCTTGCCAGCATCTGTTGTTGTTTGTTTTGTTAATGATTCTTTTGCCCACTTTCCAGTGGGGCTGTTTTGTTTTTTCTTTTTGGCACATTTGAATTCCTTGTAGATCCTAGATGTTAGGTCTTTGTCAGATACACAGTCATCAAATATTTTTTTTTCCCAGTCTGTGAACTGTCTCCCTGCTCTCTAGATGTTTTCTTTGGCTTTGCAGAAGTTTGTCAGTGTGATGAGGTCCCACTTGTCTATCTTATCTCTTACGGCATGGGCACTTAGGGTTTTGATCAGGAATTGGTTGCCAGTTCCAATTTCCATAAGGGTGTCTCCTGTGTTTTCTAAGGTTCTTATAGTTTGAGGTTTTGTGTATGGTTATAGGTAGGTGTCTTCTTCTGCATATGGCCAGTTAGATTTCCCAGGACCATTTACAGAATAGGCTCTCCTCGCCCCAGTGGTTGATGCTGGAGACTTTGTCAAAGATGAGTTGGTTAAGAAAGGGGTATTTTCTAAGACAGTTTTCAGACTCATTTCAGGTTCTCAGATCTCATGGCATTTTCTGGCCTTTTAATAGTCCCAGCTTCTACAAAGCTGCCCAACCTCTTGCAATTCTCAATTTCAGTATTCTACTGACTTACCACCATGCCGGTTCTTTAGCTTTTTCACCCCTTCCTTCCCATAAATCTTCCTATAAATCCTAGTTCATGATGCTAATCTTGACTTATGCATTAAAATAAGTTTGTTTTTACTCTTGTGGTAGAGGGTGGTACTTGCCCACTCAGTGATCATTTTTCTTAGTTTTATTCAGTATAGCAATATGCTCGGTGAGAAGATTACAACTCCCCCATCATAATTAATGAGAGCCAATGAGATATAGCAAAGATTGCATGGGACTTCTGGGAAAGCTTTTTAAAGGGGGTTGTCTCAATTGAGAGAGTACTATTTTGCCTTCCCCTTGTCCTTTTTCTTTTACCCACAATACAGACATGAATGATAGAAGCCCAGAATGCTACACTGTAAGTATACAATATTATAGAAAAATCACATGCACTAAGATGACAGAGCAAAAAAAAAAAAGAAGCCTGAGTCTCCAATAACAATGAAATTATTACACCAACACTGGGTTGGCTACTCCTGTCCTTCTTTTAGTTGAGAGAAAGATAAACCCTTAATTGACTTAAGCCATTGTTATTTCAGTCTTTGGTATTAGCAGCTAAACACGGTTCCTAATTTCCTCTGCCCAGCATCCATTTACTTTTGCCTTATTAATTAATTTTGCCTTATTAATTTTCTAGAGAAAGATCTTTCCCCTCTCTGAGCTCATGGGACAGTCCTCACGCTAACCATGCTCAAGGGTACAGCATGTGACCTGGGGTCACATTCCTCTGTCTGAGAAGTAAGCAGGTACACCTGGTGTCTTTTCTCCACCCTTTTTGAATCCACTTTGAGAGAACACTCAGAAGAGTATTCACTAAGCCACGGATGCTGAAAATGCCTCCTAGTCTCAGCCAGTTTCAACACCATCAGTAGTAGAAGTACCATGGGGGTGTCCAGGCAAACCTGTATTTCCCCAGTTCTGCCACCTCTGACTCTTTGGACTCAATACCATATCAAAAAAATCATAGGAGGGTACTCAGACTGTTCCTGCCTATGCAGGTTCCCAAACAATGTCTGCTCTGCATTCTCCTGGTAAGATTTCCCCATCACTCAGTGCAGTCAAATCCCATAATGTATCTTAGAGCCCATTTCCATTAATTCTATCCTGCCTTATATTCCTGTTGTTGGCAGTCTCTTAGAAAGCCCAAGGCTCCATGGTCATCCCTCATCTGCCAGGGTTACCCCTGTGTAGCTGTGACCCAAATCTAACCCCATAGACCCTTGCACCTGCCCTCCATCCCCGGAATAATGATCAGTCTTCAGGAAACCCTCTCATATTCTAAACTTCCCTTTTGAGCTACATTTCCTCTACTTTTTAATCCTAATCAAAATCTTATTGTCTCCTACAGACAGGCTCTTGAGATGAGGAGGTGTTTTTGTTGCTCTTTATGGCCTTCCTAGATCATTCTCTTTCTTTCCTTCCTAAAAACTTTCAGCTCCTTTGAGTATCATATTATATATCCAACATTATTTTTTCTCAATTCTCTCTCATTCTCTCTCCCTCTCTCTCTCTCTCTCACACACACACACACAACACACACAATACACACACACACACACACACACACACACACACACAGAGACTCCTTATATCCTGGAGTCATATTCTTGATTTCCTTTCTAATTATTATATCCTTCACCCTACCTCAGCCTCCATCATTGCCATATCCTCTAGACCTTTCCATAACCAATCCTAGTATCCCACTGTAATAATCACCTCCTATCTTATTGAATCACCCCTGTAAGTGACTTCAATTCCATCAGGTCTATACCCTACTGAAGTCTCTGATCTATTGTGTTCTTTTCTTTAGAGAAAATCATGACTAGAATATTTATAATCTTCTTCTACAATTCTTTTTCTCTCGTTCTAGCTTAGACGCTCTTCAATCTGGGTTTCCAATCAAGAGAAGGAGGGAGGAGAGTAAAGAAGAAAGGAAAAGGGTAGACTAAGGGGAAGGGAAAAGAAAGAGAGGAGAAACGGAGGCAGAAGAGAGGGGGGAAGAAGAGGAAGACGAGAAGAAGACGAGTATAGGGAGAGGAGGAGAAGTCCGAGAGTAGGGGAGGAAGGTAAAGTAAAGGGAGGAGAAAGAGTAGAAAGGAAGAGGGATGAGGAATCTAGCTAGACCCATTGAAAATGCACTCTCTTGGTCAGAATGCATGTGTACTGTAGTATGAACAGAGAATGGAGAAGAAATGAGAGTTGACACCTGTGGAATACATCAAAAATTGGCATATATCTTCATTTTGATAGCATGTAGATTTA